AAATTGTTCAAGCAGCCGCTATTGCTTGTGGTTCAATGGTACTCTTGCTGTGTGTCAAGAAATTTGAGAGGTTTGAGAGGTTTTTATACCACTTTCAAGCTAAAAAGAGAACCTCTCAGAATTCCATGGATACCTGTAGAAGACCCAAAGCTCCAGTCTATAGATGGTGACATAAAAATATGAGGCTACCCTTGAACACGCTGTGAGTTGCATGATAAGAGAGCAATCAATCCCAACTTTATTTGACCTGACTCTTTTACAACATGTAGTAAGCCTCTTAAAGAGAATACTGAGGAAGTCAGTATTGCTGCTTAGAAAGTTGCAAAAATGAAAGATAATTTTCTGGAATTTAATTGTGGGAATATTGTTTTATGTTTTGCTTCTGCTTGTTTTAAACCTCATGATACTTTAGTTACTAATTTCTCTGCAAACAGTTATTTATTTTAAAAAATCATTCCAAAGTTGTCATATTACCTACATTTCTTTCTGTAGATTCAAATTGCCATTTATATTATTTTTCTTTAGCCTGAAAAATTCCTTTGGCACCTATGGTAGTCTTGGGTCTGATGGCTATGGATTATTTCAGGTTTTTTTCCTGAAAATGTATCTATTTTTTTCAGCTTTAATTGAGTTTATTGGTACATTAGGGATACAGTTTCAGGTTTTTTTCCTGAAAATGTATCTATTTTTTTCAGCTTTAATTGAGTTTATTGGTACATTTTAGGGATACAGTACAGTTACATTCATTGTTGGGATGTTGTACCTCTACATGACAGGTCTTGGTTCTCATTTTTTCCCCTTGTCCCTGCCCTCCCTTCACCCCCTCCTTGCATCTATTTTAATTTATTTTTGAGAGACACAATATACACATATACCTACACATGTACAGAATTCTAGATTGATTCTTTAATCTTTGTAAGAATCATTCCATCATTGTCTGGTTCCCATTGTTTCTGAGGAGAAGTCATTTGTAATTCTTATTGCTCCCTCGAATGTAAAATGTCTTTCTTCTCACTCTTTTCAATATTTTTTATTTATCTTTTATTTTCAGGAATTTAATTGCAATCTATTTTACCCAGTTTGATGTTTATTGGCCTTCTGGATCTGTGAATTTATAATATATTAAAAATCAAACTTGGCAAGTTTTGACCATTTTTCTTCAAATATTTTTTGGTCTTATATGTCTTTTCTTCAGGAACTCTAATTACAAAAACTAGATTGTTTGTTGTGGTCTCAAAGATCCTAAGTATTCTGTTTGGCTTTTAAATGTACTCTCTGAGCTTTAGTTTGGATAATTTTTTATTGATTTGTCCTTAAGATTACATATGTTTTTCTACTGCAGATAGTCCGCTATTAATCCTAAAGTCTTCATTTTAGAAATTATATCTTTGGGTTCATTGTAGGTTTTCTATTTTTGCTAAGTGTACCTATTTATGCATTATGGTTATTTTTTCTAATTAATTTATATTTTGTGTTTATGGGGATTAAATCCAGGGCCTCCACACCTGCTAATCAAGTCTTCTTCCATTAAGCTACTTCCCAACCTTTTCTTAAATTAAAAAATCATTTATAATAATTTTATTAAAGTTTTTCTCCAATATATAAGTGATATTTGAATTTGTTTCTATTGACAGCTATTTGTCTTGGCTATAGGTCATATTACTATTTTTAAAAATATTTTTATATATTTTGACTGTATGTGAGATCTTGTGAGCAAACAGAATAGATCCTGAAGTTCATTAGCTTTTCTTTATTTACCCAAGAAAATACAAAGTCTTTTCATTCTCTGATGCCTATGGTGAAGGAGCTTAGGAGTCATGTTTCATTGAAACTTCAGTTGAGCTTTAATTAAATTCTGCTTTCTTCAGACTTCAAATGAGACTAAAGAGATAACTCTGTTTTATGGTACAATCTTCACTCTTTACTTTTCTTAAATAAGATGATCTCTATAATCTTGTCCTGATTTGAGCTTGTATTAAATTTCACTGCAGTTTCAGTTATTTTGGTTCACTACTGAATTCAACTTCAGTATGGCCTTAGAATGTAAGTGTTGTGAGATTGCAAGACTGAAAAAACTGTTATGCATTCTCTAACCTATTTACTTCTATTACTTAACAAAATTATTATAGGAAAGGATTGATAGATTAAACAATTATTGTTTTACATTAGGGAGTCTTGTCTTACAGGTTCTAACACATCATACTACTTCATATTGTCATTGAAATTTGACTGGTTTCTTTTTATGCTTGAAGAGTTAGTTCCTCCTACTTTTCTATGTGGCTTGATCACTTGCTCCTCAAGTGTGGAAGTGTCTACCATTATTTTGTTCATATGTGCATGGCTTCTTCCCTTGAATGGCTCATTTAAGTAAGAGTTAGCATTCACTTATTTCTATAGCTTTAATGTAATGAAAACCTCTTAAATTAACTTTTTTTCCTATTGTTTCAAAAGAAAAGTTTAGACTTTCAAATCTTTCTTTATGTAAGCTGGAAGTGGACCTCTTTTGAACTTTAAGCAAAATTTAGGTGTAAGTGATATATTTAAAGTACAAAATTTGATACATTTTGACTTTATAATTTTCATTACTCTTTTTCTATCTTGTGTCTTTGTATATTCATCCACACAAATGTTTTTAAGATTGTAAATCATACTCCCCACTACAATATGTTTTCTGTAAGGGTATTTTTTTCAGTACTGCTTTTCCCTCCTGATCTACAGTATCAGATAGCCTGGGATTAGCTCAGTGGTGCCACTGCCTGCCTTGCAAGTACAAGGTCCCAAGTTTGTTCCCTGGCACCAAAAACAAAAACAAACAGACAAACAAAAAGAAAGAAAGAAATTTCCATATATTGTCGGGTTGGCACATAGTGCTTAGTTATATTTGATGGGGAGAAATGAATGAAGAGAATGGGATTAGATTTCTAATGGATTAGAAAAAGTATAGGTTTCAATCAGGAATCAGATCTCTGCTAAGTTGCTTGCTAATTATACAGTTCTTGCAAAAATACCACTTCGAGTGTTTTTTTTTCTCATCTGCATCACTAAGAAGAGTTAAAAAGAGTATATTCACCTTATGATATGAAAGGCATTGCATTTAGATACAAATACAGGACATGGAATAACTGAGTTTGTAGAGACTAGGTTACAAAAATGAAAGTATTAAGGTTCTTTCAGTATCAGTAAGGATGATGGTGTGCAGTGACTGCTAAAAATTATATTCTGCTGACATAATTAGCCTAATGTCTTTAGCAAGATGGTCAATGGATTCCACTACTCAGAATGCCTACTGCATTGTGTTCTATTTAAATTAAGCATACATTTTAACAATAAAGTCAAAACTAGAACACAAGTAGATAAGAGTTAGTTGAAGAGTCTAGAGACTATCAAATGTTCTCAGTGGGACAGTTTTATATCTGGTAATGATAAACGATTTGTGTGGAGAATACTGCACAAGAACATGATTAGTTAGCAAATATTTGATGGACTGTTTGATCAGTAGTCAATAGAGAGGAAACTAGCTCCTGGTTCTAGAGGGAATGATAAGGACTGGCTGGTGCCATGCACATGGGCATACATTTTGTGTTAATATAGCGAAAAAGTCTCTCACAGGAAGAGTAGCTTAGTAAGACAGGATCTTTCATTTTATGTGAAAGCATTCAGGTGGCTGACTGACCACTTGTTGGAATATTAGAACAGGACTTCTACAGGGAATGGAGTTATGCCAAGTGACCTTGACAACCCCTTCCAACTCCAAGTCTCTGTGATTTCATGATTCACAAATTGGAACCCACTAAACAATAACAGATGGTAATTGCTGAGGGTTGATTATTACTTAGCCCAGGAAGAATTCCTAGAAGAAGATAAAAATAATTGGAAAAAGATTGACACTGTTGGAGATTGGGACTTGTAAAAAAACCAAGAAGGCAGCCATGTTGACAAAACAAAACAAAACAAACAAACAAAAAAAACCAGACTGTCTGGGTTGTAAGTGGCTGTGCATAATAAGCAGCCCCTTACTGTCTATGATTTGAGATGTACTGAACTGGAATTACCTGGAACAAAATCTCCTATTTCTGCTTTTACCAGTGTTTCTACCATCAGAAGTTTCTTTTTAAATCTTAAAGTGTTTTAATACATCAATAGTTACTGATCAAAATTAATTAAACTAGTTGCTAAAAGCTTTTTAAAATCAGTAGAATGAAACTTTTTTCAAATAAGATTTTATATGGGAACACACCATATACAATTTAAAAGTTCTTTGTGTTCTGGATGAATTTGGTGCCAGAACATTCTACCTGCTTCTTCTATTTCCACTTCCTCTAAACTTTTCTCCCTGAAGAACCTCCTAAAGACCCTCCACGAAAAAGTTGGATTCTAGAGAGAAATTCTTGGAAGACAATCCATGAAAATTGTCATCTTTGGTTTAAGGGAGAGTTACAAAAGGTGTCTGACTTTAAGAGAAGAAAGGAGAAAAATGTCTAGATGAAAATTTTTCACTTTGTCTCATTTTGAAGAGACTGAGATTCTAAATTGCCTCCTCTAAAGACTGAGATTTTTCTTCAAAGTTTATGTTTTTCCTGGAATTGGCTAAACTCATTCCAAATTAATCACATCCAGCTACTAGTAGAAGTTTCAAGGCAAAACATTTAATATTAGTACATAGGTCAGATTCCAGTGAGAAATAGATAACAGTTGCAAATTAGGAAATTTAAAGATATTATTTACAGAGGGACAATCCACGAAGGTGGGAACACACAGAAACCACACCATCTTTCCTGACAGGGAAATGACACAGTCTGTCCAGTGGTGGTGGCAGAGTTGTCAACTCTTGAGGCCTGAAAAAAATCAAAAGAAGGAGGAATTTTCTAGAAGCTTAAAAAGAGATGTCACCCACACACTCCAATTGGGGTTGATTACTTTTGTTCAGAAACAAAGCCAGAACGATGACTTGGCAAAGAGGAAGCCAGGGTAGTCAATATCCTTACTCTTCTTTCCTCCAGGTTCTTACCAAGGAAATGAGGAATGAATAATACGAACTGAAACCAAGAAGGCAAGAGGAGTCCTATTGATGGGATCTATGTAGTGATCATCTTCAGCAGGAAGGAAGGTGAAGAAGGGTTAAGATAAGATGGGGGGGCATAGTGGTAGCCTTCATCACAATAGAAACATTTGGCAAATAAAATCTGACAACCAAACATGCTTTGAATGCTAGTGAATGCAATAAGGTGTGAGGTACATAGTAAAGGAGAAAACTATTATTTTTCATTCCTCTAAATCCTTTAGCAAGGTTTCAGATTGGAATTGTTGATCCAGTGGGGGGTGTTGGATAGTGGGACGCAGCTTCTATGACCTTTCTGTAACTTGAGTACATCATCCTGTTTCTTTCTGGTGTCAACAAAACCTAGCATCACTAATTCAATAGACTTCATACTTGTTATTTTCCCTGTCTCAAACACCAGAGTTATCACTTATGGCAGTGCATCTCCTTCCACTGCATCTCCCACAAATTTATGACAAATGAAAATCTTGATTATTGCAAAATTAAAGCAGGCCAGGAGCTATTAACGGTTGAGTTGTTTTAAGTCATATATATTATTTTTATGTAGTATATAATTTATATTATATACATACATGTGAATATTTGTATATGGCTATTCATTTCATCAAATTTCCCCCCACCACCAGTGGACCAGTGAGGACAGGAGCTGCATGAAGCCATCAGCATGGCCTCTCCCCAACCCAGACTTCCCTGCCACTAGCAAACAGGTGAGGACTAGAGTCATGTGGGTGCCTCCAGAAACCCAACCCAACCTCATCCCCCTGGCCTCCTGGCTATGCCTGGACCTCATCTACACCACAGAGGCACAGAAGGTCTTAAAGTCCATTGCCCTGAGATAGAGCAGAAGTGAAGAAGGATTAACTCCTTTTAAGTCCCCACCCTGAAGGGTACAGTTAGTATATTGATCAGTTTATTCATTAGAAACATATTTTGGGCTATTCTTAAATTTCATTTTATTTAACACAGTTAAAGGTGATAGATTAAAAACTACCATAAATTGTCATTTTCTAAGACGTGCTTGATTCTATTGTTGTTGCTGATTGTATCACTTGAGCTAGTGTTGTGATTGATTTAATTGTTTATCTTTCCTGGTACAATGAAAGTGAGATTGATCCAGAGTCATTAGAAAGTCAAAACCTAAAGACCAGCTATATCTAAGAAGCATTCATTCCTTAAGGGTTCTAAATGCAAGCAACAAAGATATTTTCAGTAAATAATATAAAAGTATTAGCCCAAGATTTAAACCTAGGACTATACCAACAACAATAATACAAATTAAAAGACATTTAAGCAAGACACAGTCTTCCAACTTACCAAAGGCTAATTCTAGGGGAAACAGATGTAAAAGTCTGATAATCAACCACCTGGATACCCTGAACAGATAGCGCAGGAAGTAAAATCAATCAATCAAACAAACAAACAAAAACAGATAAATGAGGCTCTAGAAAAATTCAAAAAAATAATTTCCCAGGTAACTACAGAGATGATGAGCAGAATAAAAGGCATGATTAGAAACTCTAGCATAGAAGTATAAAAAAATAGATGAGTTCAGGACCATGATGGAAGCCATGAATGTTCACAATAGGAAAAAAAATGGAAACCATGAATGCACAACATAAGAAAGAAATAAAATCCATGAAACAGATTTAAACAGATATCCAGGAGATTAAAAACTCTATTGAAAGTATACATAGCAGATTGACCCAATCAGAAGACAGAATATCAGATATAGAAGACAGGATGTCAGCCAGTGACCATGAAAAGAGAGATCTCTTAAAAATAGTAAGGGATTGGGCCGGGGATTTAGCTCAGTGGTTCTAGCACCTGTTTCGAAAGCACTGGGACCTGAGTTAGATCTCTAGTACACACACACACACACACACACACACACACACAAAGTAAGGGGCCATGAGAAATTAATAGTTATAACCATTAATGTTAATGGCCTAAATTCACTGATCAAAAGAAATAGACTGTCAGAGTGGATTAAGAAGCAAAATAAAATATATTAAAAAAAAGAAGCAAAATCCAAAAATATGCTGCGTACAAGAAACACACCTAGTTCAAAAAGAAACTCATAGACTGAAAGTAAAAGGATGGAAAACAGTTCTCCATGTGACAGGAACCCAGAAAAAATCAGGGGTAGCTATCTTATTTACAGACAAAGGAAATTTCAAACCAAAACTGATTAAGAGTGACTAAGAAGGTCACTACATCCTTGTAAAGAGAACAATCCAAAAGGAAGAGATGCCAATCATAAATACATATGCACCAGACATTATTGCCCCAACTATACAAAACAAATATTAAGGAACATGAAAAACCACATAAGCACTAATACAATTGTAGTGGGGGTCCTCAATATGCCGTTTTCACAAACAGATCATCTAGACAAAAAACCAACAATGAAATACTAGAATGGAGCCAACCTTTTGAACAAATAGGTTTAATAGACGTCTACAGAGTGTTTCACCCCAAAAAATCAGAATATACATCCTTTTTGGCTTCACATAGGACATTCTCCAAAATACAGCATATATGAGCTCATAGAACATCTTTAAGTAGATGCAAAAGAATTGAAATTATTCCATGTATATTATCAGACCGTAGTGCAATTAAATTGGAGATCCATAGGATAAAAAGCAGTAAGAAGTTCACAAACACATGGAAATTGAATAACACTCTCCTGAACAACCAATAGGTCACAGCAGAAATTAAAGAAGGAATTAGACAGTTTTTACAATTTAATGATAATGCTAATACAACATACAGGAATCTATGGGACACAACGAAAGCAGTTCTACAAGAGAAATACATAGTAGTGAATACCTACACTAGAAAAACAGAGCGAGCTCAAATATACAACCTAATGCTGAACCTAAAGCTCCTAGAAAAAGAAGAGCAAGACAAACCTTGTCTTGTACAAGAGAGGAAATTATGAAGATCAGAGCAGAAATTAATGCAATGGAGACTAAGAGAACAATACAAAAAAATGAATTGAAGAGTTGGCTTTTTTGAAAGGATAAGGAAAAATCAATAAACCCTTAGCCAACCTTGTCAAAAAAATGAAAGAAAAGGCTCAGATCCATGCAATTAGGAAAGAAAAAGGGGAAGTCCAACAGATCCAGCAGAAATTCAGAGGATCAATACCTACTTTGAGAATCAGTACTCTAATAAAATATAAAACACAGAAGAAATGGATAGATTTCTAGATAAATATGAATAACCAAAGTTGAATGAAGAAGATATAAAAATTCTAAACACCCTGATTGCAATTGGTGAAATTGAAAACATAATTAAAAATTTACCAACAAAGAAAAGCCAGGTCCTGATGACTTCACTGATGAATTCTGCAAGAAATAGGAATAGCAAATAAACATGAAAAAATGTCCATCACTGGTCATTTGAGAGATGCAGATAAAATCTACACTGAGATTCCATCTCATCCAAGAAAGAATGGCTGCTAACGAGAAATGACCAATAACAAATGTTGGCGGGGTTGTAGAGAAAAAGAAACCCTTATCCATTGGTGGTGGGAGTGCAGACTGGTGCAACCACTATGGAAATCAGTATGGAGCTACCTAATCAACGAGGATTAGAGGTCCCATTTGACCCACCTATTCCATGCTGGGTATCTTTCCTCCAAAATTAAAAGAATCATACCAGTGATATATGCACATCCATGTATTAGTGGCACAATTAGTAATAACTAAAACTTGGAAATAGTCCAATTGCCCATTGATTGGAGGCTGGAGAAAGAAGATGTCATATTTTTATAACATCGTCTACTACTCAGCCATAAAGAATGAGAAACTAGAGACATTTATAGCTAAGTGGATGCACATTGAGGTCATACTCTTAAGTGAAATTAATAGGATCCATGTGTGCAAATATGATATAGTTTCTTTGGTGTGATGAACTAAGTAAATAAGGATCAAAATGTATAATTGATACTGTGTAATAGGAAGAAAAGGTCTAAAGGAGTAGGGGAAATGGGAGGGGTAGGGGAAAGGTAAAAAGAGACAACAAAAAATAAGAGAAAAAGAAAAAATGGAAAAAAATCTTTGTAAATGGAGAAGGGTGGAGGTGGTGAAGGGTGGCTAGGAGAATGGGAAAAAAGTACTAATCAAGGTACATCATGTAAATGTACAAAATTCCCGTGAGGAATATAACCGTATTGTATACCTTAAATGTACCAATTAAAAATATATTGAAAATATGAAAAAGAGGAAGTTGCACCCAAAATATGTATGAGGGAGGAAATTGTAAAGATCAGAGACATCTTATTGAAACTAAGAAAACAATATGAAAAAAATCAATGAATTGAAATGTTAGTTCTTGAAAGATTAAATGACATAGAGAAATCCACACCCAACCTTATAAAAAAATAGAGAAAAGAAAAGTCTCAAATTTGTGCGATTAGGAACAAAAAAGGATCAAATCACAATTGATCCGGCGGAAATGCAAAAGATCATCAGTACCTGCTTTGAGAACTTGTACTCTAATAAGATGGAAAACGCAGAAGAATGAGCAGATCCTTGTATATATCTGCATTAGTAAAGCTGAATCAAGAAATAAAAATTCTAAAAGAGCTAATTAGTCAATGTAGTTGAAGAAGTACTTAAAAACCTATCAACAAAGGACAGCCCATGTCCTGACAAATTCACTGCTGTATTCTATATGAAAGTTAGAAATTTAATGTTACTCTTCCTGATACTCTTTACTGAATTTTAAAGGGAAGCAATACTCCCAAAATAAACCCCCAGAGCATTACCCTGATACCAAAATTAGAGAAGGATTAAAAAAAAAAAATCACTAGCCAATCTCCCTAATGAACACAGACTCAAAACTCAATAAAATATTGGCAAACAGAATGCTGCAAATAATCAAGAAGATGATATAGCATGACCAAGTAGACTTCATCTCAGGGATACAGGGATGGTTCAACATTTGCAAATCAATGAACGTTAATATACCACATTAACAAGACCAATGGCAAAAACCATGTGATCATCTCAATAGATGCAGAAAACGTTTGACAAGGTCCA